ACCATATGATAATAATTTTAAATGAATTATTTAATTTTCATCTTTTATTACCATTGAATTCAATTACTGTTATTTATATCAGACTACGTAGTTGGTAAATAGATATGTCTTCCATTACAGAGTTTAGAATTTCTTGAATTAAAGCTATATCTTTGAAGATGTTGTTAAATATTAGATACGGTATCCTTTCGAAATGAATGTTAAAATTAAAATAACCTAATTATTGAATCTTTTTGAACAAGAAATACATTCTTAATAATATAACAAAATTAGACTTCGATTGATAAAGATAAAAACCTTGTTAACATTCAGCAAGTTGTAAGATTCTAATTTTTAAAATTCATGTGTAAGCATTATTTAATTATAGGATCATCTTAAAAAATTTTACTTAGTGTGAATTACTAAAAATTCTAGATTAACATTCCAAATATTGCATAATCCTACTATAAAAACTAATAAAATTTAATTTAAGTAGTCAATAATTTTGTAATTTACAATTCTTAGTTTAATTAGTAACTAAACCTGGAAATAATTTTACTATGGGATAATCATTTGAATTGAAATATTTAATTTACATTGATTATTAGCTATGAATTCAAGTACCTTTTTTTCAGACTTTGTAGTCGATAAATGTATACGTCATTCATTACATAATTTAGAATTTCTTGATTTTACGCTTAATTTCTGAAGATACTGCAAAATATTAAGTATAGTATCCTTTTGTAATGAATATTAAAATTAAAATTTTCTAATTATTAAAACATTTCGAATATGAAACAAATTCTTCAAAATAGATCAAAATAAACTTTAATAGATAAAGGTAAAAAATCTTATTCAGGGTAAATTTTTATAAATGCTAGATTAACATTCTAAAACTAGCATGATCCTAATATTAAAAACTCATAAAATTTAATTTAAGTAGTCAATAATTTTGTAATATCAAATTGTTTGTTCAATTAGTAGCTAAACCTGGAAATATTTTTAGTATAGGATAATAATTTTAAATGAATTATTTAATTTTCATCTCTTATTACCATTGAATTGAATTACTGTTATTTTTATCAGACTACGTAGTTGATAAATAGGTATGTCTTCCATTACAGAATTTAGAATTTCTTGAATTAAAGTTTTATCTTTGAAGATGTTGTTAAATATTATGTATGGTATCCTTTCGTAATGAATGTCGAATTTAAAATTCTCTAATTATTAAAACATTTCGAAAAAGAAACAAATTCCTAATAACTGAAAAAAATTAGACTTCTATTGATAAAGATAAAAATCTTGTTAATTTTCAGCAAGTTGTATGATTCTAATTTTAAACATTTATGTTTAAGCATTGTTTAATTACAGGATTATATTAAAAATCATATTTAGGGTGAATTATTATAAATGCCAGATTGACATTCCAAAACTGCAATGATCCTAATATTAAGAACTACTAAAATTTAATTTAAGTAGTCAATAATTTTAAAACATCTAATCGTAATTTAATTAGTAGATACAACTGGAAATAATTCTACTATAGGATAATGATTGTAATTGAATTATTTAATTTTCTTCTCTAATTACCATTGAGTTCAATTACCGTTATTTTTATCAGATTACGTAGTTGGTAAATAGATATGTCTTCGATTACAGAGATTAGAATTTCTTGAATTAAAGCTATATCTTTGAAGATGTTGTGAAATATTAAATACGGTATCCTTTCGAAATGAATATTAAAATTAAAATAACCTAATTATTAAATCTTTTTGAACAAAAGACAAATTCTTAATAATAGAACAAAATTAGACTTTGATTAATGACGGTAGAAGCTTGTTAAATTTAAGCAAGTCGTATGATTGTAAGTTTAAACATTTATGTTAAATCATTATATAATTAGTCGATTGTCTTGAAAAATATTTCTTAAGGATTATATTGCATGCTAATTTTATCTTCCGATTTTGTAAAGTTTAGTAAATATTTTTTAACACAATATATAATCAAAATAAATAATTGTTGATTCCTTGAAAGAAAAGCGTATAACTATTGTTGGTAATCAATTTTTATTTTTTTATCTAATTCTCTTGTGTTTAAATAATGAAATTTCAGCTTAAGAAGTAAACGATTTTGTTCAATATAATCGTAATTTATTTGAAACGACAAGGAAGTAAACTGTTCAAAAATTATTTTAATTGAATTTTTAAATTTTCATATTGCATTACCATCGTATTCAATTACAGTTATTTTTAACAGACTATGTAGTTGATAAATGAATATGTCTTTCATAACATAATTGAGAATTTCTTAAATTAAAGCTTTATCTCTGAAGATGTTGTTGACTATTAAGTATAGTATACTTTCGATATGAAAGTGAAAATTAAAATTATTTCATTACTGAAACATTCAGAATTGGGAACACCGTCTTCCTAGCATAACTAAATTGGACTCAGATTGATAAAGTTAAAAACCTTAACATTCTGTAAGTTGTATGTTTCTAATTTTATCGTTCTAAAACTAAATTTATTTTTTGAAAATTATTTGAATTTAATTATTTAAATTAGAGATAATTTTACAATAGAATTAATATATTGGTTCTGTGAATCAGTTAAAAATTACAGTGTAAGTAAATAGTATCAATATTAAATTTTGTATTTTCTTTCTGTTATTTGATATGCAAAATTATTCTCGTGTGATTTATATTTTGAATATTGAAATTCGTGACATTTGTTAAGCAGTATTTATGTAATTAAATATCTAATTTCAAAATTCAGTAAATTTTATAATAGAATAATATCATACTTACTTATTAAAAAACAGCTATTCAAAAAAATAGATTCAATTGATTGCTGATAAACTAGAGAATACATGAAATAAATATATTTAAAAGTAATATATGTAATTTTTAAAAGATAAAGCCTACTATTTAAAAAACAAGAAGCGAAATTCTATTTTAGTATCACCAGTAACCAACAGATAGTGTTTTTAAAAAAATCTGAATTTTTAACTCGCAACAAGATTCACAATCTTAAAGAATAAAAAGGGTCTGTTGAACATAGAACTCATTTATTGATATTAGCTTACGTCCAATATGAAACATTTTTAAACGGATTGAAAAAATGTGTTACAGTCAAATTACAAAGTAAATGAATAAATTTTAATTCCAGCCTTTATAGTCGCGTTTGAAGAAACATTAGGTTTAAAGAAAAGTCTTAAATCATTTGCCAAGAAGATGCATCAACATTCAAAAAATACCATCCATTAAGTAGTCTCGTAAAGTCAATATGAGTGGAATACCGTAAATGCTAGATTAACATTCCAAAACTTGCAAGTTCCATATTAAGAACTTAATAATATACTATATAAATAGTCCTCGATTTTAAAACATCAAATAATAATTTATTTGGCAGCTAAAACTAGACGTAAATTTATATAATCTATTTGTAATAAATGTAAAAGCTACAATTACTTCTATTTTTAAATCATCTCGAATAAGAAACTCCGTATTTATAGTAGAAATGAATAGGACTTAGATTGATGTTGGGAAAAACCGTATTAACATTTAGATATTTGAATAATTCTAATGTTAAACATTTATTTTAATGCTTTATTTAAGACGTACATCATCATAAAAAATATAACTTTGGATAAAATTAAAATAGAATTAAACTATTAATTTTGTATAGTTGATTAACTACGTATTAAGACAACATATAATTAAACAAGAAAATTAATGATTAATTGAAATAAAACTTTAATATAAGATTTAGGAATCAATTTTGAATAATTATATTATCGAATTCTAATTTGTTTAAATGCAAAATTGTTTACCACTTCTAAACATTCAAAAAATAGCATTTATTAAGTAGTCTCCTAAAGACAACATCATTGAATTACCGTAAATGCTAGATTAAATATCTCGAATAAGAAACTCCGTATTCATAGTAGAAATAAATAGGACTTCGATTGATGTTGGAGAAAACCTTATTAACATTTAGATATTTGAATAATTCTAATGTTAAACATTTATGTTAAGGCATTTTTTAAGACTTAGATCATCATGAAACATTTAACTTTGGATAATATTACAAGAGAATTAAACGATCAATATTGTATAGTTGACTAACTACTTATTAAGACAACATATAAGCAAACAAGATAATTAATGATTAATTGAAATAAAACTTTAATAAAAGATTTAGGATTCAATTTTGTATATATTATCGAATTCTAATTTGTTTAAATGCAAAATTGTTTACCATTTCTAAATATTCAAAAAATACTGTTATGTTTTAGAAAATTATTTAATTAAATTCCCCTCTTCGAAGCACAAATAGCCCGAAAGTCCAAAATTAAGAAAAACTATCGGGTTTTTTTTAGGAGTGTCCAAAAATGCGTTACGCATTCCCGAAAGATAAAAGGTTGTTGTTGGGATATGTCGGACTCCAAATAGTTTACCGACTAAAAACCTAATCTCCTCTTTTCTACGCTCTCCCAAACCGGAACCGCGTTAGCATAACATCAGTTTGAGCGCTGTCTAGGTCCTCTGTCCATTTATAAGCAACTACTTGTCATTAATTAAAAACAATATTTTAGTCTATAGGTTAAAAATCCCAAATTCTTTTAATTCTCTATTCTCTTTTTTAGTTTCCTGAATTTCTTTTTATATCTCTGTGTTCTTCCTCTTTAGTTTCAATTATTGAACGGATAACTTTGTAGGTAATTAACCAACCTTCCTCATCTTGTAATAAAATTTTCATCATGTTTATAATGTCAAATTCAACTTTAGATATTCTCTTAAATTCACTTCTATTTAGTGACCATCATGGGCATTTAAAAAGTGTATGACTCACATCATCACGTTCGCTAAAATAATCACACAAACCGGTATCGTGCCTTTTTCTTACATATAAATACTCCATAAAACAGCCATGGCCTGATAGAGCCTGAGTGATGTAATAATCTACCTCACCATATTTTCGATTTCTCCAAGTTTTGATAACAGGAATCAGCTTCTATGTTCAACGCCCATGTTGCGCTCCGTCCCACTTTTCTTGCCATCGGGCCAACATTTCGCTTTTCGCTTCTTCCTTAGTTTTCCACTCATAAACATCTTTTCTTTCGTAGGCAAGTAGTTCTATTGGCGGTATATCAGCTATTACCCCGACTGCTGATGCAGAAATTGTTCGATACCCACTACACACTCTTATTCCCATAACCTTTTGCAATCTAATTAGTTTTTTTAAGTATTCTTTGATTTTTAATGCGCGGACCCAAACTGGTACATCGTATAAAATCTGCGAGTGAACTACGCTAACAAGAATTTTTCTTTTTGATGCACTTGGTCCTTTAATGTTTGGCATTAGACTGGCTAAAACTGACATTGTCTTCTCTGCTTTTTCTAATACTTTATTTACGTGTTCCTTGAAAGTTAGTTTTTTATCTATCCATACTCCTAGCTGCTTTATATAATTTCCCGGTTTTATTTTAACTCCTTGCATATCGAATTCAATTGGGTCCAATTTCGTTTTGTTAGTAAGGAGCACTGCTTCTGTTTTTTCCGGTGCAAGTGTTAATTTCCTGCTTTTCATCCATTTCACCACTCGAAGCACTGCTGTTTCAGCTTTCTCCATTAACTGCTTCTCAGATGTCGCCACAACGACTAGGACTACATAATCAGCAAACCCCACTACATATACTCCTTCCGGAAAATCTAGTTTTAACAGTCCATCATATTGTATGTTTCAAAGCGTTGGTCCAAGAACTGAACCTTGTGGAACCCCACTAGTAATCTTCATTTATCTCTTTCCCGACTCAGTTTCGATCAAAATTTCCCTTTTTGACAGATATAAAGCAATAATGTTTATCAGAGATTCGTCAAATTTCCTCGTTCTTAATTCGTCTAAAATGATCTGCCAAGAAGCACTATTAAACGCATTCTTCACATCCAGAGTGATTGCTGAACACAGACGTTTACTTTTTGTACTAAAACTCGCAGCATCTTTAGCAAGTGATAAAATTCTTCTTATAGCGTCTATCGTCTGTCGACCCTTTCTGAATCCGAACTGATTTTCAGCTAAGTCTCCTTTTCTTCTGACAAGTAACACTACCCAAGTGCCAATCGCCGATTGACTTGAGTCTTTGCGCATTTTTTAGAGGAGCTAAAAATATTGGATACGTGCATTTTTATATCGGCAATGAAGATGTTGTAAGGGTTGAAAACAGGGGTTGAAAAGTCATATTTTGAGTGGCAAAATATACATATCATGATCATTAAAGAAAGTTTAATTAAAATCATTATTTCATTATTTAAAAAATGTTTGACACTTCTTTCTTGATTTCCTAAAAGATACTGCTCGGTAGAAATTACCGTTATAAACCTTTTTGAATGGGGTGAGTGAAACCTTTAACCCTTTAAGAACCAAATATACAAAACTTTTGCATGATTTCACAACCAATTTTTCAAAGTGATTTGAATCGCTTGAAACTTGTTACTCGGGGGTTTTCGGGGTCGCTGATTACGAATTCGATTAAAAATTGAAAAATTGAAAATGTCGGATTTAATATGGTGGGCGAAAAATTGGGAAAGGGGTGATTAAAATTTCGTAACGAAACTCATGTAGAATAGATAAAAAATAAAGTATCTGTGGATTTTTAAGGTTCCTAATTAGGATTCTAAAACCAATTTTCAAAATTGCAAAATATTCGTAATCAGCGACCCCGAAAACCCCCGAGTAACAAGTTTCAATCAAATTGCAGTTGATTTTCAAAATGTCTTCCGCCATATTGGATCCGCCATTTTGAATTTTGAAAAACTGACATCGAATTCGTAATCAGCAACCCCGAAAACCCCCGAGTAACAAGTTTTAATCAAATTGCAGTTGATTTTCAAAATGTCTTCCGCCATATTGGATCCGCCATTTTGAATTTTGAAAAACTGACATCGAATTCGTAATCAGCGACCCCGAAAACCCCCGAGTAACAAGTTTCAATCAAATTGCAGTTGATTTTCAAAATGTCTTCCGCCATATTAGATCCGCCATTTTGAAAAACTGACATCGAATTCGTAATCAGCGACCCCGAAAACCCCCGAGTAACAAGTTTCAAGCGATTCAAATCACTTTGAAAAATTGGTTGTGAAATCATGCAAAAATTTTGTATATTTGGTTCTTAAAGGGTTAAAGGTTTTACTCACCCCATTCAAAAAGGTTTATAACGGTAATTTCTACCGAGCAGTATCTTTTAGGAAATCAAGAAAGAAGTGTCAAACATTTTTCAAATAATGAAATAATGATTTTAATTAAACTTTCTTTAATGATCATGATATGTATATTTTGCCACTCAAAATATGACTTTTCAACCCCTGTTTTCAACCCTTACAACATCTTCATTGCCGATATAAAAATGTACGTATCAAATATTTTTAGCTCCTCTAAAAAATGCGCAAAGACTCAAGTCAATCGGCGATTGGCACTTGGGTAGTGTTACTTGTGAGTTCTTCGTTGATCCTTCCTAATATTAATTGTTCTTAGAGTTTACCTTCACCGTCCAATAGACAGATTGGCCTATACGAGCTTGGTTGATCCGTAGGCTTGCTGCCTTTTCTTAGCAGGATTAATTTAGCTTTTTTCCAGATTTTTGGAAAAACTCCTTTTTTCGCTAGCTTATTAAGCGTTTCTAACACAAACTCTGGCTTTCTTTCTGCTACCTTTTTAATAACGTTTGATATCCGGCCTGGCCCAGGTGCTTTGTTTAATTTTAGTTTATCACTTGCAGCTTTTAACTCTTCAAGAGTGAAACTGACAAACTGTTCTGTTCTCCGCAGAACAAAGTCGACTCTAGGATGATCTGGAAACAGGTGTTGAGACACCTTTTCCATCGCTTCAAGTGTCATTTGATTATTCTGTGGAAATCCAAATATTCTTTGCCTAACTATTTTATACCCTTTCCTCCAAATGTCACTATTAACTTCGTCACAAACTTTTTTCCATTGATATCTTTTAGAAGCTTCTATTGTATTCTGAAGATTTTTCTTAGATTGTAAATATTCTTCCCAGATCGCTTCTATTTCGGCTGTGTTATTTTTGACACCTCTTGTGTACTTTCTTCTTTTCTTTAAACATTCGCTTCGTAACCGCGCTATATCTTCGTTCCACCAGTATTTGGCTTTTGTGTTCTTTCTTTTCTTTATTTTGGGCATACATTCTCTACATATCTCTTCCATTTTCTCATGAAATCCTTCAGGAGAGGTATTACATTCACATATTTCAATCTTGTCAATCGCATTTAATAATTTTTTTTTATCTAAGCATCTGGTATTCCATCCTCTACAAATTTGCATCCGATCTTTTTGATTAAGTGTTTTAATCTCGAACTGAATGTACTTATGATCACTTAAACTTTCCAAGTCCAAGACCTTCCAATCAAGCACAGAGAACCCCACTTTGCCAGTTGCAAGCGTCAAATCAAGAACAGACCCGTAATTTTTTCTTACGAATGTTGGCTTATTTCCGGTGTTTTTAATTACCAAGTCATTTTTTCCAATCCATTCGGTCATTATTCGTCCTCTTCTGTCTGTCTATCTCATTCCCCAGTGAGGAGATTTCGCATTAAAATCTCCCACAATTAATGCAACGGTCTGTTTAGCTCTTTAATTATCCTCTAGCTGATCTAAAGATTCCATCATAAGCTCGATATCCTCATTAGGAGAAACGTAGCAACTATATATTGTAAATGTTGGTGTTACTATACATGTATAGCCTTTACCTTTTCCATTTGCTATAAGTGGTATTTGACTATTCAAGACTTTTATAGCTGTATCCAGATCTTCGTCATAAAACCAATCTAATCTTCTCATAATAGCCTTTTTGTTAGGCTCACTTACCAACAGTATATGAGCCTAACAAAAGTCGGTTTAAAAATATGGGATCGGCTGTCCCTCTCCTACGGTTTATCTTGCAGTTAAAAGAAAAATAAACTTAATTTAACATATTTATTCCTTCAAATTATCACACATTAATTTACAAGAAAGATCTGAATTATTACAAGGTAATAGTTTATTCTTGAAAACACATTAAGAAAAATACATATAAAAGTTCCGCAAAAGATAATTAATAGTTCTGAAAAATCTAATTAACAATTTACGTATGAAAAACATAAAATCTGTAAAATTTATTGTAATATCAAGTTCAGTAAAAATATTAAAGTTCTTAATTTATCTTGGCAACAACTTCTAAACATCAACAGTTTAATTATCAAACTCAGAACAATCTTTATTTTCTTATTAGATTACTCACGTTTCAAGCGTTAGGTTATATTCGTATGGAACGATACATTCATTACTTACGAAAAAGATGTCCTTATCTCTACCGCATTAGATTGGAATTAGAAGTGTCAAAAATGATCTCTTTAGTCCCTGTTCTAACACGGCCTTGAACTGATGTCTGTTAGTTGAATCCATTTTGAGTTTCTTTCGAAAAATGATGTCGCAATGCGAATATTTAACTAGTATAACAATAGATAATTATGGGAAGGAGATGTACTGAAGAACATTTGAGAGGAGAATTTTTTCATCGAACAGTAGTGACTTGGAAATCGTCGTGATTTTCTACGGAAGAAACCGCTATAAGAAGAGGAGTCCTTACGATTAACAAAGTTAACTCTGCGCTTAGGATTCATTCTTTATAGTGTTCAATAAATGAATATCACTATCGACAACTTTGAATTCGTTGTAACCAATCTCGAGGTTTCACAAGTTATATATTCCCTTCCCTTCTTTTTTACTAAATTTTAAATTTAAAAGTTTGAGTCGACTTAAGTAAATAATATTAATGAAATGAAATGAATAAATTATGATCTCTCAATTGTGCAAAAATCAAAACATATCCACATCAATTTAATCGTGCACGCTTGGCTTCAAGTAGATTTAGGTTTTGCAAAAATGGTGACAAAATCGGATAGCGGTATTTCATTCCTGTTTCTTTAAAGCTTTAAAAATCGTAGCTGATCCGTTTTTTGAATGATTGTTAAATTTGTAATTTTTACTTAATACCTACCTGACAAGATATTGTAAATATAAGTTATTTCAATTTAAAACAAAAATGTTACTCACATCTGCTTTTGATGCTAATTTCATGTAAACTAGTTGATGTTTTACTACCATTCGATATATTATTGTGTAACCTTCACGAAGAGAAGAGCTTTAGCATATTCTACAAATCTCGTTTAGTACAGATTCTACTAAACAGCGTAGTCAGAGGAACTACTATAGTTTTGTCACACAAAAAAATTTACCTACATAATAATAATATAGAAATCTGATTAGTTGTCCACAATTAAGAAGATTGTGGACAACCAATCAGATTTCTGCATCTCGTTTCTGTCGGCAATTTTTTTTCCAATAATCGTGTAAATGCTCCCTTACATTTTACTAAACAAATAGTTCATCCCAGTGCATAAATTTTGTGAAGGCGTCGATCAGGGGCTGATAGGGGCAAAAATCGGGAATGAAACGCCTAACCTGATCCGGGCTAGATCGGATCAGCTCTGCTAGGGCCCTGGTCTGGCCCTTGTTAATATTAATTTGTAAAAATAATAAAAAATTATTCTGGTTTAATTAATAATAAATAAGCTT